AAATGTTGAGATGTGAAAAAAAAAATTGAGATCTGAAAAAAATAATGGATAAAAAAAACTGAAATCTAGAAAAAAAAACGGACAGAAAAAAAAAATTAAAAAGTCAAATTATATGAGTCAAAAGACAAGGACAATATATGAATACTGAAAAAAGAGAGTGGCATTTTTGCAAAACTTTTTAAAAAGTGGCATTTTTGTTTAGTGGCATGGAGCATGTGACATTTTTTAAAATTTCTCAAATTTTTTTATTTTTTTGGTGAAACACTTTCATATATAAAAAAATTATAAATTCAATTATATATAAGCGGATTTTTTAGATGTTCATGTAATATTTAGAAGAGAAATTGGCAAAAATAACTAAGAAAAAAAATTAAAACATAATAACTAAACAAAACTTTTGCACTAATTATAACCACTAATTTTAAGATTTTTGATTAATTATTATGTTTTTATTTTTTTCTTGCTTATTAACCAAATCAATCCTATTTAGAATTGATTTTTAACTAAAATTATAATAATTTTATACTAGGAAAACAAAAAAAAATCCGAGCTTGTATCTCAATTTGATACCCACTAAAACCATCACCCAAGAAAAGAAAAGAAAAAATATATAAAAAGGGTTGATAAATTGCCTGGGATTTTTGTAGAGCATCCCTGCCTTGGGCTAATTTTCTGAGATCTGTGAGAGTTTACACTTTAGAACAAAGATGAGCGACGGAGACGAAGCTGTAAGACGCCGTACCGCGGCGGTGACCGATTACCGGAAGAAGCTCCTACATCACAAAGAGCTCGAATCCCGTGTCCGGACAGGTTCGATTTCAAAATCATACTCATTCTCTTAACTCGCTTCTACGAAAACACATGGAACTCGAAATACCCTTTTTTNTTTCTGGGCTTAATTTGAATCGTCTTGGGTGAAACTGAATCTAGGGTTCGTTGAACCGTCCAAGTGACGCGATTCGAATGGTTTCTTCAATTTTCTTAATTATGTAGTTTTTTTGGTGAGATTAGTGTTCTAATTTTCTGGTTTCTCCGCTTGATTAGTATTTATGAAGTCGATGGGGATGGGGAAGATCTGAAGTTTTAGTATTTGCCTGTGACTGCTTAATAGAGTTGAGTTTTGTTATGATTCATTAATTAGAGATTGTGATAATGGGTCTTGCTCCTCTGCAGCTAGGGAGAATCTAAGAGCTGCTAAAAAGGAATTCAACAAAACTGAGGATGATTTGAAGTCTCTTCAAAGCGTTGGGCAGATCATCGGAGAAGTATTACGTCCGCTAGATAACGAAAGATGTAATTTTTTTTATCTATTTGCTCATTGAATACTCCATTTGGTTAATGTTGCTTTGTACCATTCTTTGTGTTCTATTATCTAAAGGTGGAGTTTTTCTTCTTTGTTCTTTTGCTTTTCGTATTTTTTAGTGATTGTTAAAGCGAGCAGTGGCCCTCGTTATGTGGTGGGTTGCCGTAGCAAGGTGGACAAGGAAAAACTGACTTCAGGAACTCGAGTTGTCCTGGATATGACTACACTAACAATTATGCGAGCTCTTCCCCGTGAGGTATGGCATTGCTTCTTTTATATCTTCTTAGTGTATTTATACTGGGTTTAATGGGGCATCCTTTTGATGATATAGGTTGATCCTGTTGTGTATAACATGTTGCATGAAGATCCAGGCAACATTAGTTACTCGGCAGTGGGTGGTTTAGGTGATCAGATCAGAGAACTCAGGGAATCTATTGAGCTGCCACTCATGAATCCTGAGCTTTTCCTCAGAGTAGGGATTAAACCTCCTAAGGTACTTATTATGTATATTCTCTTTATAATCCTTTCTTTAATTGTCACAGACTATCCTATGCTTCACTTTTTATGTTTCAATTTGGCTGTGGTTACTGTTATGAACTGCTAAAAGAATTAAAGCTCACTTCAAATGCCACTAATTTTGCCTCTCATTTCAGGGAGTCCTTCTCTATGGACCGCCAGGTACTGGAAAAACTCTACTAGCTAGGGCTATTGCCAGCAACATTGATGCCAACTTCTTGAAGGTTTGATTTTGCTGTTTGTGGTTTTTGTTCTATTCTGTTAGGCTTGTTTGGGCTAAATAAACTCTCTTTTTGGCCTTTATATTTAGGTTGTATCAAGTGCAATCATAGACAAATACATTGGAGAAAGCGCTAGGTTGATTCGAGAAATGTTTAACTATGCTCGTGAACACCAGGTAGGACCTGGCTTTGACTAGTGTCTTGTTATTTCCTTTTTTCTCACAGGCTTTATATCGACGTTAATGACTTTATTATAAACTCCTCCTGTGGCTAGCCTTGTATCATTTTCATGGATGAAATCGATGCTATTGGTGGGCGCCGTTTTAGTGAAGGAACTAGTGCTGATCGTGAAATTCAAAGAACACTTATGGAGTTACTCAACCAGCTTGATGGGTTTGACCAACTCGGAAAGGTACTACCTATAGTTCTAGATTAATAGGCATATAACATGTGGTGAAGTTATTTCACAAGCTGGGGTGTGAAACTTATTGGGTTGTACTTCAAATTGTTGCTTTCTAACTTACCATGATTTTGCTTCCATGAAATTTATTTTATTTGCTCTCCAAAATCTTTGTACAATGGAATATCTTCTGATACTTAGGAGAATGTATATTAGGTGAAAATGATAATGGCCACCAACAGGCCGGATGTTCTTGATCCAGCACTTCTCCGTCCGGGTAGGTTAGATAGAAAGATTGAGATCCCATTGCCAAACGAGCAATCAAGAATGGAAATCCTCAAGATCCACGCATCTGGTATTGCCAAGCATGGGGAAATTGACTACGAGGCTATCGTGAAACTTGGAGAGGTGTGTTTTTTTTCCTATCTTCCACTGCGTTGTACTTGTGCCTTTGTTATAAAATAATAGATCCCACTGATACTTCCTCTAAATCAAAATCCATAGGGTTTCAATGGTGCCGATCTGCGTAACATATGCACTGAAGCTGGAATGTTTGCAATCAGAGCGGAACGCGACTATGTGATCCATGAAGACTTCATGAAGGTAGAAAACATTCCAAATAAATACTCTGCATTTATAAGTATTTGTACCCAACTTTTCTGCTTATCAAATTCATCTGTTTGTACAGGCTGTGAGAAAGCTGAGCGAGGCCAAGAAACTTGAGTCGAGCTCTCACTATAACGCAGATTTCGGGAAAGAGTAAGAATAGAACAAACTCTGAGAGGAAGAAAAAGACCGAAGGGGGCAGTGAAAAACTCTGTTGTTTACTTTGAGGAGCAAACCAATTTACAGAGGCACATTGCTAATGACTCTGTTTCCGCATCTCTTGGCTTTTGTTTTGGGAATTTTAAGTGTTTTGTTGGACACAAATATTATTTTTTTCTTTAGAAACGAACTGACTCTTGTTATTCTATGTTTATGGATCATTTATCTAACATGGTTCAAATCTCAAAAGTCGTTTGAAATCGTCTTACGGGTTCACAAGTTCTTGTATCTCGGCTTTGAGTCAGGTAATCACCCCGTTACGATTTTCGAAAGAAAACAGTAAGTTGGTACGAAAAATGAGAACTTTTTTAAAATTATGCAGAAACATCACATGATTAAAA